ATCGGTGAGAATCACGAGCAGTGACTTCAGCCTCTACTGAAAAAGAAGAAGGAACAGTAGGCGGGATCGAGATAGAAGAAGGTGCTGTAGGTGGCGTGGATATTAGAGGACTACGAGAACCTAGAGCCACGAGAGCAATAAATCCTATGTATAAAACAAATATGGAAGAGAAGAAAATGATCTCAATTAACATAAATGGACTTAATTCAGCAAATAAAAGAAAGAAAATATTTCACAAACTAGGGAAACTAAAATTGTATCTTTGATGTAAAGGATCACTTCTCTTTTCTTATAGTTTGCCAATGAAGTAAACATTTTCCCCAGCTTTGGTTGCCTTAATAAGTATTCATAAGTTGCTTTTGAATATGCACTTCTTGTAGACAAATTATATTCAATTTTAGTTTTCCTAGTTTGTGAAATATTTTCTTTCTTTTATTTGCTGAATTAAGTCCATTTATGTTAATTGAGATCATTTTCTTCTCTATGTTTTATACGTAGGATTTATTGCTCTGGTGGCTCTAGGTTCTCTAGGTTTGAAAGTATTATTGAAGACAAAAAAAATACAGCAGTAATGGGTCTTCATATGATTTCTTACATCCCCGCAAAACAGCAAAAATAGCAGATACTCTTAGATAGAACTACAGCCTAGCAGATTTTCTGAGTTCAGCTCAGTTATTCTTATCCTGTAGTCTTACAACTTAGGTTCCACTTTCATTATATTACTGCAAGACAAAAACATTTCAGGATATTAACAAAGCCCATTTTAATAGAACATTTAAAGTTCATTCACATTAATTTTTAAAAATTGCTTTTCTACAAGTGTGTTTCTGAGACTATTTTTAAAAAAGAACAAAAAAAATCCATTATTTGATAGCTTAAACCTTGTAAATAAATCCAAATGTAAATTAGCAGCTCTGATATCATAAACTATTTGAGTAAACACGTATTTTACTGTTTCAAAGAAAAAAGTTCATAGACTTGTCATAGTTGGGCTCTATTACTGGGAAAACCATTGTGCTAAAAGTCAAACTCAGCAGTGAAACTGGAAGCAACACTTCACCAGCCTTTCCAGCTGACTCTAATGCAAGAATTGTATGGAAATAGAGATAGTAATCTTTCAATTACCTAGATCTCATGCCATTTAAGATTTCGTAAGATGGTAACAACATCATACATTGGCCTTGACACTTCACAGGCAACCACTGCTTAAGGGCTGCTGTTATATGGTTCCATTGAGAGTTATATGACATGGTCCAAACAGCACTGCATCTAATGCATCAGCCAAAGCTTAGCAAAGCTCCTTGACAATAAAACTTTGAACAGAGAAAATTTCCCAATCTATGTACCTGTTTTACCAGAAGGAACATTACCTTGTCTAATACTCCTTCTAATTCTCAAGTCAACTAACCACAACAACAGATTTGTACAGATTCAGCTTCAGTTTATTAGCTCCCATCCAGTCCCTCACAGCCTGAGACATCTATAAAAATTATTCCAATGGAGGCAGAGACGAATGATGCACACACATTGATGAACAAGGCATACTGAAGACTCTGGATGACTATCCCCATTGGCTTCGTATAGATACAGAGCAACAGAACATAAAGAATAAAACCTATGGAGTCCCACAATTCAAAGATAATGGAATGGAATAAAATAGACATTATTCACTGTCGATCTCTGGATAGCCAATTTCTTATAAGTAGAATCGAATTACGCAATGCCTCCAATTTAGAGATTACTGAGCCATTCCAACAGTAGTCTGTAATCAATGATGTCTATTCTAAGATCCTCAAGAATAAACATGAAAATATTTCCCTGGCCTTTCTCCCTCTAAAGATCATCAATCCGTACAACCAAGTTTTTTTTCTATGCCATATCTAGGTCTTAAGCCAAAATGAAATACCATATTTTTCGAACTATAAGACGCACCTAGGTTTAGAGGAGAAAAACAAGAAAACAAAAATTCTGAACCAAATGGTATAGTAATATATTTCATAAAATATAGCAGAATATTTCAACCAGGTAAATACCACAAGAGTGGTATTAAGAACCATCATCACTGTCATTAACAAATGAGGAGACTTTAAGGTTCAAACACTCTTCTACTTTTCTGGAAACCCCAAAAACTCATCATCGCTAATGTCAGAATTTAAGAAGCTCAATTGCTCACAATCACTGATATCACTTTCTTTGCTATCTTCATATATGATACTATCTTCAGTTCCCTAAGGCATGCTAATGCCACATTTNCCTGCCTCCAGCAGCAGTTCGTGGTTTACATGAGTTTCACTTTATTAAGTCTCAATAATCGGTACAACCAGGCGTGGGAGCGTGTAGCGGTTAATTCGTGCAAGCAATCGATTTAACACAGATTAAGAAGTTGCCCTTTAAATGGGATTTTAAACAGAGGCTTAAGTTTAAATAAAAAGGAGAGTTGTAGCCCATATCATTTTGAAGCAGACTAAAAAGCATTTACAAGTTGAGCTTGTAAGAGTCTCCAAATAATAATTTTACTGTGACAGAGTGGACAGTTTTCAATTGAGCTTGATTGACTTTTAAGTAAGTATACAGTTAAATGTAATTAGTTGAATTGACTTTTAAATAAGTATAAAGTTAATTGGTTCCAAGTTTAACTTTTTTTCTGGTCACCTAAATCTTTGTCCTGGCTTTACCCACCACATCCATTAGTTAAACACTGCTCCAATACAAAAGAGTGAAGCAACTGCCTTAGTTGGTTTTGATGAAATATAAGGCCATCCAATTATTGTTTTTAGTTTACACTAATTGCATACAAAGGTGGTTCAGTGGCTAAGACACTGAGTTGTCAATCAGAAAGGTCAGCAGTTTGGCGGCACCGCATAATGGAGTGAGCTCCCACTACTTGGCCCAGCTTCTGCCAACCTAGCAGTTTGGAAGCATGTAAAAATGCAAGTAGAAAATTAGGGACCACCTTTGGTGAGAAGGTAACAGCGTTCCATGCGCCTTCGGCATTTAGTCATGCAGACCACATGACCACGGAGACGTCTTTGGACAGCGCTGGCTCTTTGGCTTTGAAATGGAGATGAGCACCACCCCCTAAAGTCAGGAACGACTAGCACATATGTGCGAAGGGAACCTTTACTTAATTACATACATTTTATAGGAAGAGGCATTTATAGACCTACAGGGGCCATTTCTATCACTGCTGGTAAATGGACATTGTGAGAAGTGGTTCTTTCATCTATCCTTAACAGAAAGACTCAAGAGATTTTCTATATATGTAGCTTTGATGTCACAGAGGCTGGGCAGATGTTGAGCTTGTGAGTTCTATTTCTAGAACAGGATTTGCTTACTAGAACCATGAGATGCATAAAATGGAAATTGGTCCAAAAAAATCAATCAGAATTTAAAACGCCAGGGCCCAGGAGTTTGTTCTGAAGATCAGATGTAAATGGATCTCACAGGACTCTACTTACAAAAACTTCAATCTTTTTTATTTTATTTTAGCAGTATCTTTTAAGGCCAATTTATTTAAGTATTTGTTTCTTTAGTTTTCTTAGTTATTTAAACAGTTTATATAGTCTCCCATCTTTCTACTGTGACTGGGCATCTGATAAGGAATGGAAACCCAAAACAGCAAAATCAAATTGGGTTAAAAAAAGAAATTAAAACAGCAATATAATCATAATAATTTATTAAAATTATGTGCTGCCCAATTACCTATAAATCTGGGCAGTTTACAATTGTTAAAAACATTTAAAAACATAGAAAAATACTTTAACAAAAAGAATACTAGATAAAAGAGCCAAGATAAAGAATCAATATAAGAGGGATCTTCTTGAACAAATTACAATTATATATTGTATATATATATATAACTCCACTTCTGTAACCCTGTAGGAGTGCTTGTCTTTTCCTAACCTATAACTTTCAATCTTTTATCATGCTTTTAATCCTTACTACAAAACCTACTATTATAATATTTTCAAAAATATATTTATTTTAGTATTTTTTTAAAAAATGTTGACTATTCTCCAAAGCACCTGAATGCAGAGCAAGAAGCAATGGATGGAAGCTAATAAAGGAGAGAAGCAACTTAGAACTAAGGAGAAATTTCCTGACAGCTAAACAGTCCAACGGTTGAAAGACTTGACTTCAGAAGTTGTGGGTGCTCCAACCCTGGAGGTTTTTAGTAAAAGATTGCACAACTATTTGTTTGAAATGGTACATGGTTTTCTGCTTGACCAGGAGGTTGGACATTCCATTCCGATGCCTCTTCTCTGGGTGTAGGACAAGGCGTTATTAGGTCGTCTTTCATTCTTTGAGATGGTGGCTCTGACGTGGGTCGACTCTCAGTTTCTTGGTTTGGTGCTGAAGGTGCTGAAGGTGTCATGGGATATTTACACAGGGATGAAAACATCTCCATATCTACTGGAATCTCTAATATCCCCTTTGGATCTTGGCTTCTATTTTCCATGATCTTATATTCATGTAATCCCTTGTTCTCTGAAGGAGAAGTGAGAGGCTCAATTA